GCCACCCTTGACTCTGGCCTTCCCTGACACCAAAACTGCAGTGGCCCCTGAGCTGGGAGTCAGGTGGAGATCAGGGCTGCTCCAGGAGAGGTTCTGTGACCCCAGCCTTGAAGGGTCCCTTGCAGCCCCCGTGACACTGGGGACGAGCGAGGCTACCAGCCCTCTGATGACCGACCCCCCAGGCCCTGCTTTGCCTGAGGGCCCCTAGCCCTGGCACTGCAGTCACCCCAATAATGAAGTTGCAGCTGCTCAGGTCAGACTGAACAGCACCCGGCTTCATGAACCCACTTGGGGCAACCTGGTGCTCGGGGCGGGGGGGGGGCTGGAGAGGGTCATGTGGACCACCCAGAGCCTGGGGCTGGGGGCAGTGGTCAGCTGGACTCCTCTGAGGTCCACTGCGGGTGCCCCTCCCTGGGTCTTCTTGGTCCACCCCGTTCAGTCTCTGCCAGATTCTTCCCCTGCACAAGGGCCGGCACGGGCTGGCGCCCACCTGGGGACCACACCCCTCCTCCCACCGCCCCTCTGTCATCTTACAGCCATCTCTGCCTTTGGCCCGATGAACCACGCACCCTCTGAGCTTCTGCTGCCCCTTGCGTGTCCCGCCAAGCCCCTTCTGCCTCCTTTCCCTGTGTGGGGACTCAGCTCAGACGTCCCCTCCTTTCCTGAGGTTGCCCTCAGGTCCCGGTAAGGGGTGAGGGCCTGGAGCCCAGCAGGGAGTCCCCGAGTTTCCCATGGGCAGCCGGGGATCGGGTCTCCATCCCGCCGTGATGCTCTGAATGGAGGGTGTCCGGACGCCTGCCAACCCCACTGTATGGGGCCTCAGCTGCAGAGGGCAATGTGGGAGGAGAGCAGGGCTGCCCGGCGCTGGGACAGGCACTGACCAGCTCTGGGGGCTCCTGTCACTGCACTGATTCCAAGCGGGGTTCTCTGGGGAAGTCCCTTTAAGATGAGGGCGTGAGTAAAAAAACCTAACTTGAGTCTAAAACCCAGTACCCCTAACTCTCTCCCCTGAGGGTCCCCGAGCCATGGAGGGACCGACCAGTCGGACCCTGGCAGGTGTGGGCGCTCAGGTCGGGTCATACCCCGTATCACCACGAGAGGGCGCGCTGGCCTTAGACTTGGCGTCCAGCGCACCAGCTGCTTCCCAGGTCATGGGTCTCAGGTCAGCAGCTGGCGCTGGAAATTCCAGACGTTGGACCCAGCTCCCTGCAAGCCCCAAGACGCAGAGTTCGCTGGGGGACTGCATGGTTTTGCCGCTTTAAATTCAAATATTCTCTTCCTCCACCATCATTAGGGGTCATGTCAGCAGTCAGGGCTGGGTACTGGGTGGGTCAGGGTGTCCAGGGTGAGGGCCTGAGCAGGGAGCAGCTCTCCGTCCTGGTTCCCAGGTGCCCCCCGCATCCAGGAGGAGCGACGTTCTCAGTGTTTCTAGAGCACCTGTCACACTGTCACCCCAGAACCAGGGCTCTGTACCCCCACATTGGCTGTCCTGCCACCATGTTGATGCCACAGTGTGACTCCCGAACAAGACGGGGAGCTCTTGAGAGGGTCTGCGACCACCTTCCTGCTGCCCTTCCGGGGAGCCTGCCTTCTCGAAGCGCGTCCCTCCCCTGTGGTCGCCCCAAGGCAGGGCGCTGACCCCACCCTGCACCCCCACGCTGGGCCCTCCGGCGCATCTGGCAGACGGAGGGAGCTAGAAGGGACTTGTTCCTTGGTGGGTATCCAGCATGTCTGACTCTGCACCCCGCGCCCAGGCCTGACAACTCAATCCCGCTGACGTGACAGGAAATGAGAGTGAGCTGCAGGCGGGCAGCCAGGAAGGCACGCGGGTCCTAGCCGAGGGGGTCTCTGTCCCCCTGCCATCCCCCGGCTCCTCCTGCAGTCTCTTCTCCACTCCCAGCTGTATGGCTGCAAAGAGGCTGACTCCAGGAGCCTCTGTGCTTGCAAGTAAAGCAACTGACTGGACATCTGAGCAACACGGGGGGCCAGGGACTCTTGGGGTGCACTCAGGGAGGGGATCAGAGGTCCTGATAAGGAGGGTCCAGTTGATGGCAGTTTAGAAACCACCTGGGGTAAGACTGGCTACTCTGAGTCTTCCAGCTGTTAGGAGAGGGTGGGGGGTTAAAAGAAGGCAGGGTGTACATTTGCATGTCATTTGCATGTCATTTGCATAGGGCTCTTTTGATGTCCAAAGGCAATGAAATTCCCTGTCCTCTCTGCTGTTTGGTCTTTCCTCGGTTTCTTTCCTAGTTCCAGCACCCCCACCCCCACCCCTTTTCCTTGTGGCTTTTCTTATCCCAAGCTAAACTCTGAGCCAGGCCTTAGACCCAGGGGCTGGCCTCTGCAGGACTCCTGTGGGCTAAGAAGGAGGGAGGGAGGGTTAGAGGTTGTCTAACGCGCCCCCCCCCCCCACTCCAGTTCATTTCATGAAATGCTCAAGTGAACCAGAGAGGAATTAAGGAATTAAAATGGTCCTGCCTGCCCCTCTTTTTTTTCCGGGGGGGGGAGGTTTGGGCCACACTTGTCTATGTTCGGGCCTTAGTTCTGGCTCTGCTCTAAGGAATCATTCCTGGTGAGCCATATGGGACACTGCAGATGGGACCCCAGGGTCTGCCATGGGCAGGCCAACGCCCTCCCCGCTATATTGTCTCTCCAGCCCCCCACCCGCCTGTCTCTGCCTGGAGCTCCAACCCCCCTGCCTCTGGTCCCAGGAGGAGCATGGGGGAGCATGAGAGGATGGTCTCCCCAGTGACTAGGCAAATTCCGCCCCTGGGGACCTCAGACCCCTCCTGTGAACAGCATCCAGGTGCCTCCCACCTCCAGATGCCAGCTCGGCCACCTCCTGGCTGCCTTGGCCTCACTCAGTGCTGTCATGGATGATGCTCCATGTACAGTGCCCTCCTAAAGATGTGCTGGCCTGTGGTACCTCTCCAGGCACAGTGGAAGTCCCGATCAGTATCTGTGGCATGAATGAACGAAGGTAGGGATTACCTGGGCACCCTCCCCCCTCTGCTCTGAGCTCCCTCCCTTCCTCTCTCTGTGCTCCCTCTCCTCCTCCCACACCAGCTCTGGGACCCAGAGTGGCACCTGCTTCCGGCTCGGAACCTACCAGTACCACCTCTGTGTCAGAGGCGCCATTCCCAGGACATCCAACCTGGGGTCTGGGAATTCTAGGTTGGAGCTGGGCCCCTGGGTGCTTGGGAAGGCCCTTCCCAGACTGGAAGTTCATCCCAGAGAGGGAAGTGAAACAGGCCAGAGAGGGGTCGGAGCATTGGGCATCGCCCCTCCCGCTACCCCTGGCCCCTGTGCTAGCAGGCAAATGAGCGATGGACAGCAGGGCAGGGGCCAGGCAGGAGAGAAGGAGGGACAGCGGGCAGTCCCCTGTCCCCTGGTCCTCCAACAAGCCTTTCCTCCCTGGAGGGAGGAGGACCCTTCTTTGCTGAGACCCGGTCCCAAGACTGAGCCCCCAGAAGGATCAGTAAGGCACTTCCTCCTTGTCCTCCCGGGCAGCTGTGGCCGCCGGAGCCCTTCCTGATCCCTGCCAAGTACTGAGCTCCACATTCCCAGCTCTGAGTACCCAGGACTGAGTACTAAGCTCCAAGTACCCAGCTCTGAGTACCTAGCAGTTAGTACCCAGCTCTGAGTACCCAGCTCCAAGTACTCAGTTCCAAGCACTGAGTACCCAGCCCTGCGTTCCTGCAGCAGGACAGCCAGTAAACAGCCCCACAGGCCTGCCCCTGGGCTCAGGAACAGGGAGGTGTGAGGGCAATCATCAAAAAGCAGAACCAAGTCCCCCTGGTTTTCAGGGGGAGACGCCACTGGCTGTGAGCACTACTACGGGAGGGAGTGCAGGACAGGAGCCTGGAGCCTTGCCGGCTCGTATGCCACTGAGCGGGTCCCCGCCTGGAGGTTTCCCGGGGTGGGGTCCTGTGAAATGGGGCTAGTAAGGGTCCCTTCCGGCTGTGACAAGCACTGAACAAGATGCAGGTGGAGGGCTGGTCGCAGCAGGAGAGTTCCCAGAGCCTTGCTGTCCATCAGGGTTCTTGGTGCGGTGGGCACCAAGGCACTGCGGGCAGGGAGCACAGTGGGGATGGCGCTGAGGGCATGGAGGGTAGGGGACAGGGGTCACAGTGGGCAGGGGTCACAGGCAGGGGCCAGGGAGGGCAGAGAACGAGCCCAGCAGCCTGGAGCAGGAGGAAGCTGGGTCCTGCTCTGAGTGGTGGGCAGTCCTGGAGTGTGAGGCACAGTGGGTCAGAGGGTGCCAGCCTTTCTGGCTTACAGACAGGGGGGTCTCTTAGAGGAGAGGGTGCCAGAGCCTCTGGTGAGTGATGCATGAGCAAATTCCAGGTCCTTGGGAAGTCAAGTGTGGGTGGCCAAGCCCTTTCCCAGGACGGCGACCCAAGGACCCCCACCTCCCCAGCCCTCACACGCGGACCCTCCCCTGACAAGTGACCTTATACACCTTCCTCTCCGGGGTCTTCCTCTGCGGGCACGGCGGGAGGAAGCCCCCTCGCTGGCGTCAGGAGGTGGGGGGTGAGGGGAGGACCACCTGTTAAGCCCCCAGCCCCACGCCCCGGACGGGTCTGAGCGCAGCGGGGCGCGGCGCGGCGGCTGGTGAGCGGTTAAGAAGTTCCCGAGCAGCTTCTTCCCGGCACCCCGCGGCTCTCCAAGCACCCGGGGCTCTGGCTGGCCGCGCCGCGGCTGCGGGAGGCGGTCCAGGCGGAAGCTGCGGCGGCCGCGGGCCCGGCCGGTCCGACCTCCGGGGCGCGGGGCGCGGCGGGGAGCGGCCGGGCCGCAGGTGTTGGCGGGGTGGGAACCCGGCCCGGCCGCATCCCGGGCCCCCTCCCCCGGCCCGGCTCCGCCGATGCAAATCGCTGCTTTGCCTGGGCCCGGGGCCAGGCGCGGGGGCCCTGCCAGGGGGCGTGGCCGGCGCCCCCGCCCGCGCCCCGCGTGCTCACCTGCCAGTGTGGCAATCGCGGCCGGCCGGGCGGGAGCAGCGGAGCGCGCGACGGGGCGCGCCGAGGGGGACCGTGGCTTCCCCGGGGGCCCGGCTGGGGCCGGCGCGCGGGGCCTGGGGCGGCGCTGGCTTGGGCCCCGCCTGGGGCAGGATGGTCAACCTGGAGCCGGTGCACGCAGGTGAGGCGCGGGGGGCGCGCCGACAGGTGCCCCGGACGGGGTGGCCGGCCCGGGGGTCCTGGCCCGCGGCGGCCGGGAGAGGGCAGTGTGGGCAGCGGGCCGGACGGCGCGGGGGGCGGGAGCGGGCCGACGGGGCGCGGGGGGCGGCGGGGGGCGCGGGGGTCCTGCCCCCGACGCTGGCGGGGCGCGCACCGGCCGGTCACGCGCAGGGCGTGGAGCGGGCGCGGGGAGGCGTGTGCCCGCATGTTCCTGCGGGGAGTCCCCGCGTGGGCGCGGGCGAGGCTGCCGGGACACCGGGAAGATGGTGGGGGGCGTGGGGGCGCGGGGCAGCCGCGGCCGAAGGGAGTGGGCGGGGCTGCGGGCAGGTGCGGGGCTGGCCCCGATTAGCCCCTGGCCCAGGTGAGCCCCATCTGGGCGCGGAGGCGGGGCTGGGTGGATGCTGGGCGGGGTGGGTGCGGGGGTCCCCGGGGTGACAGACTCAGGTTCCCCCACCCCCCGCCCCGCGTCCCGGGCCCGTGTGCGGGGCCAAGGGGGGCGGGCAGGCAACCCGCGTGCCCCTCTCAGGCAGGGGTGGACCCGGCGCAGGACTGGGCTCGGAGGGCCTGTAGGGGAGGGTGTCAGGGTGGAGGCGATGTCCCCAGGGTCTGACTGTCCATTGTCAACCCAGTGACTACCTCCCGCAAAAGGGCAGCCCCCCGCGGCCAGCTGTGACTTTGGGGGAGGCGGTCAGAAGCCAGCAGACCTCCTGGTGTCCCCTGAAACAGAGCAGGGTGGGGTCCTGCCCACCCTGACCACACAGAGAATGGCAGGTGGACAGAGAAGTGGCGGGAAGGAATCTTCCAGCTGGGTGGGAGATGGCTCCCAGACTCCGGGGGTCCAGGGGGGTGTTGGAGCCCCCGGGGCAGAGCTGCTGTCCCTCGCCAAGCCCCACCTCACTTAGGATGGAGACTTCAGGAGGGCCCCCCAGTTCTTTAGGACCAAGATCAGAGACTTCCTGGGGGTTTTCCACCGCATTGTCTGGGAGGCTTCAGCTCCGAGGGAAGTGGGGGGGGGGGCAGGCTGGGATCCAGCAGGGAGGCCGCCTGAGGCAAAGAGGGTCAGGCTGAGGGGAGATTGTCCAGGGCACCCCACCTCTAGCTAGGGGAGATGGTGTTCACCCCAACTGGGGGTCCCTCATCGACCCTGACAGTGTCAGGGCTCAGGCTGGTCCCGCGCCTCCTTCTCTGAGGAGCGTGGGTACCCTTCAGCACCTCCTCAGGGCTGCCTCAGAACTCCCAGCAGCGTCTCTGACCGGGCAGCCTCTGCGTGGCTGGTTATCTCGGACCGTCGTGGGGTCTGCTGTGGGGGGGGGTCTGCGAGGAGGCCCCTCTATGGGGATCCCTCAGCGCCCCGTATCCTGATGGCTCTTTAGTTTTTGGCCAGACTGTTGGTGCTCAGGGCTCACTCCTGCTCTGTGCTCAGGGGTCATGCCTGGTGGGGCTCAGAGTGGGGTACTGGGGGTCAAACCTCGGTCACTCCTGCACTCTCAGTGCCTCCTACTGACTTGTCATGCAGAAATTTTCCGGTTACCTCTTGGCCTTTGGGGTCCCTCTTGCAAACTTACAGGAACAGTTGCTTCCACCCGCCCCATTCAGCTCCCGACATGGTCAGCCCCTCTTCTTGCTCTGATAACTGGGGTGCAGGCCATGAGTCAGGGTGGCCCTCAGTTCTTTGTACTTTATAGAGCGCCCCTCACATGGGGCATGGGGTCATCGGACTCCGGGGCTCCCCCGTCCTGGTGGAAACAGACAGAAGGACCCACAGGAGGGAGGGAGGGAAGGAGACAGTGGGAGGAGGGCGGGGGGCCTGCGGCTGCCCCGGGTGACCCCAGCCTGGAAACAGCTCCCCATGAGACCCCAGAGAGTGGGGGGGAGGGCCCATCTCCCAGACTCAGGAGCTCCTCGGGTGAGCATCAAGGAGAGACAGTTCAGAAGTGGGACACCAGGGTCCCTGAAGTTCTCCCAAATAAAGGTCCTGATGGGGGAATTAAGGGGGGCCAGATGGCCAGATGCACGTCCCTCCATCCCAAGAGAAAGGATGACTCCTGCAAACACAGCTTGGACCCCCAGGGGCCGTGGGCAAAGGGGACTCCGAGTCCTACGGGGTGGAGGGGTGCTGTCTGGGATGCCTCCCCGGTGGGCACCACACATCCTGGGCCTCAGATGCCACCCAAGGCCCCAGAACAGGGGACCACCCTGTTTCCCTGCTTCCCGATGTGATGTGGGGCTTAGGGTGGGCCCCAGCTCTCGGTCTGGTCTCCCTCCCGGGAAGGGAGGATGGCAGGAAGCCGTATCAGCCCTGAGATAAGAACTGCTCAGCCGCCCCGCCCGGCCTCCCTCCCTCAGCCCGCAGGTGCCGGCTGACAGGCAAAGGGCGCCCATGTTGGGAGTTTCGGTGCTGGCCCAGTTTTCGCCTGAGCCCCAGGAGCGGGGCCCTACCAGCGGGCCCCAGCCTTGGATCGTGCTTGGCAGGTGGCTGAGGGGGCAGGGGGCACCTTGACGACTGTTGCCCTGTCCCCTGTCTCTGTGCTGCCATGTCATGCCCAGAGAGACAGTGTACAGTGAGGGGTGTCCGGGCACAGGGCGATGTCCTGACTGAGTCGTGTCCACAGGACCAGGCCCACCTGCTTCTGGGCATGGTTGAAGGGTTTTGGGGAGTGGGGTCAGAAGAGTTTGGGTTTCAGGCCCCACATTATGATTTAGGGGATGAAGGGGAGGGCTGGGGGGGGGGCACTTGCTTTTCCACGCAGGAACACTGCTTGCATCCCTGGCAGTACAGGGAGTGACCCCTGAGCACTGCAGACTGTATCCCACCCCCTTCCCTAATAAAAGTAATGTTTAGGGGCTGAAGACATTATACGGCCATAAGGCCTTGCCCTGCATGCAGCCAACTCAGGTTCACTTCCTGGCACCACTTGTGGTCCCCTCAGACCCACCAGGAGTAAGCTCTGTCAGGTGTAGCTCAAAAAACAATACCCCTCCCCCCCAAAACACACACACACACACACACACACACACACACACACACACAAAACAAAACAAAACAAAATGAGTCTCTAGCTAAAGAGTTACCCTTCCAGAGTTAAGGCACTTGCCTTGTGTGCACTCAACTGTTTTTTTTTTCTTTTTGGGTCACATCTGGCGATGCTCAGGGGTTACTCTTGGCTCTGCACTCAGGAATTACTCCTGGCGGTGCTCAGGGGACCATATGGGATGTTGGGAATCGAACTCAGGTCAGCCGCGTACAAGGCAAATGCCCTACCTGCTGTGCTATCACTCCAGCCCCTCAACTCTGTTTTGATACATGGTCTGATACTCTGTGGTCTCTAGAGTACTGCCAGCAGTGAGCCCTGAGCACTGCTGAGCGTTGTTCCAAATGCCCAAGACAGGGTCGGAGTGCATGCAGAGGTACCAGATTCAAACCCCAGCATCACATGATTCTCTGAGTACTGTTGGGAGTGATCCCGGTATATGGTGCCAGCTGTAGACCCCAAACCAGTAAAAAAAAATATAAAAGAGCCCCTTTTAAATGTCAGGCCTTGGAAATAAGGTGACTTAGAGAATCTGGCTGAGTTCCACCAGCTCTCGCATCTCCCTACAAAGGCAGAATTTGGAGGTTGCTGCTACATCCCAGGCAGAGAACAACGTCCCTGGAGCGGGGACCCAGGGCACCCATGCTGTCTGTGGGGACCTGGAAATCAGTTGTATCTTGCTTGGTCTCTTTATCCAGACCAGCTATCGGATGCCACCCCAGGGCCGAGACCAGGGGACCGCCCTGTTTTCCTGCTGTTTTCACTCAGTATTCCCTTGACCCCTTGCACTGGCCCAGGAACGGACGGGGGGTCTGAGTCCTGAGCAAATTCCAGCCTCTGCCTTCCAGGCCGCTGCAGTGAGAAAGTCCTTCCTTCTTCCCTCCCTCTTCCCCCTGCTGCTGAGATCACTGTGGTTCAGAGATGCCCTGGGGTCCCGCAAGGAATCTGCCGCCCACCCCCATGTTCTGAGTTCCGGGTGTGACAGACACCCTTTAGAACCCGCGGAGGGGGGCCAGGCTGTGGTCGCCGGAACCTTCCCGGAAGCTCTGACCGGCTCAGCACGGTTGAAGACTCCCTATGGGGAAGTGTGACCTCGTGGGTGGGACTGAGCCGAGGCCTGTCTCCATTGGAGGAGCCGGTAGTGTACCCCATGTTCTGCATAGCCACGCATCGCCAGTTACAGAAAGTTTCCAACTGCTGCAGGGAGGACTTGGGCTGTGCTCGAGAATCACCTTCCTAAGTACGGTTCAGTGGGCGGGGGCGACCGGGGTGCGGTGCCGGGGGCTCCCCGAGATAGGGTCTGATGCCCTGAGGCCGCCCCCAGGATGGCTGTGGAGCGCCGGCCGGGGCGCTGTAGGAAGCTGCAGGTATGTCCCCAGGAGCCTTTTCCCCTCGGGCAGGTCTCAAAAGTCCTCCTGCACCTGAGCTGGCTGGCCCGGCTCTGCTTCTGGGTGTCCTGGAAAGACCCGCTGGATCGCCGCGGGGGTCTGTCCCGCCCGCCCCCGCGTGTAAGCGTCTGCCAGAGTCCCTGGTCTTTAAGAAACAATAATAAAGTCGGTCTTCCTGCTGCTTTTCCTGGGCGGAGGGTCCAGCCCGGCTCGGGCTGACCCTCTGCAGACCTGGCCCCCGCCAACTGCCTGATTACCTGATGCAAATGAGCGCTGCCTGCCGGCCCGCGATTGGCTGCGGAGCCCCTATGCAAATGAGCTCCCCCAGACTTTATCTGGTTTGAAAGAGTTAAGGAGCTGCCCCAGAGAAGAGGGTGGGGGTGATGGGGGTTGGGGGGGTCACCACGATTTGAATAAAATATTCTTCTGTCTTTAACGGCTTCGGTCTCTGAGTGGCTTAATAAGGAGAGAAGCCCCGGGAGAGAGAGTTAGTTCTAAGTTGCCTCCCGCCTCCCATGTGCTGACCCCCCGAGAGAGAAATTGGGGTGGGGGTCGTCGGAGTGGTGACAACTCTCTTTCGTGGGTAAATGTTTAATTTACTGACATGAGGCGGGGTGGCGAGGCCCAGGCTGCCCTGGCGTAGGTGTCCTCCCTCTGCCGGGCTCTGGCCCCCTGGTCAACCCCTTCCTCTCTGAGCCCTTGGAAGAAGAGAGGGACAGAGAGAGACAGACAGAAGTGCTCACCCACCCAGGACAGGTCTCGGCAGGGGCCACCCAGACCTGGGGGTGGGTCCGTCCCCCAGTCTGATGCTGAACCCCGAGCACCAGGCTGGAAACCCCAGGCAGGAGCTGGGGAAGAAGGTGAGAAGGGGATGCTGGGAAGGGCTTGGCTTTTGGACAGTCCCTTTCTCCCAAATCAGGGTTGTGTTGGGAGGGGTGAGCTGGAGGGGGGGTGGTGGTGGCAGATGAATCTTAGGCTGCTTAAAAATATATTAAACATCTTCTTCAGACCCCCCGGAAATACGGCTTGAGAATGGGGAGTGTTCTAACTGCCCTCCCCCACCCCCCACACGCCCCTTGTTAAATCCATATAGAGCAATCTGTGATTGAAGGATGTGGGAATGAATGATGCAAAAGGCGAGAAGTCCCAGAGCCAGGAAGGAGAGAGGGGAGGAGGGCGGGGGGGGGGTGGGCTGGGGCGGGAAGGGGACAAGCAGGGGAGGAGAGGGGCTGTGCCCCCCTGCTTATGAATATTCTAACGGTTTTATGTGCGGGAATCAGGAATTTGAAAGTCTGATGGTTGGTGTAATTACATTCCTCTTGGCTGTTTCTTTCAAGGCACCTATGTCATAGCAAGAGAAACTGTGACCTGTTATTAAAATCAGTGGTGTTTTCCCTGCAGCTATCAAGATGAGCGGGGATGTGGCCGATTCCACTGACGCTCGGGGCTGTGTGCTTAGCCAGGTGGAGACAGGTAAGGGGCTGCGTGCCGGGAAGGGGGGGTGGCAGAGGACCGGGAGAAGTTTCTGGAAAGTGGCCAGCACTGTGGTCTTTCAGTCACTTGGACCCTACAGCTGGGTCTCAGCAAATAAAAAAGTGCCCGGAGCATCAGGGAAGGGATGACACAGATGCTTGCAACAAAATCTCCAGGGAGAGCCTAGAAAAAGGGGCCAGAGCTTTAATAATAATAATAATTATTATTATTATTAAAAAATAAATCTAAAAAGTTAGGGGCTGGGGCTGGAGCAATAGCACAGTGGGTAGGGCATTTGCCTTGCACATGGCCGACCCAGGTTTGGTTCCCAGCATCCCATATGGTCCCCTGAGCACCACCAGGAGTAATTCCTGAGTGCAGAGTCAGGAGCAACCCCTGTGCATCGCCAGGTGTGGCTCCCCCAAAGAAATCAAAAATAAAATAAAATAAAAAGTTAGGGGCTGGAGTGGTAGTACAGCAGGTAGGGCATTTGCCTTGCACGCGGCCGACCCTGAGCACCGCCAGGAGTAATTCCTGAGTGCAAACCCAGGAGTAACCATGTGCATTGCCGAGTGTGACCCAAAATGCAAAAAAAAAAAAAAAAAAAAAGAAATCTAAAAAGTTAGAAATGAGATTCCCTTCTTGGTGTGCTGGGCCAGCTTAGAGGGGCCGGATCTGTCCTCAGCTGCTGCCATGCTGGCCCCCGCAGCAGCAGCAGGAACACCTGACCTCAAGGGGCATGAGGTTAGGGCCTCTGGCCCTGGGAGGCCTGTGGACAGGTGGAGGTGCATGTGGGTGGGAAGAAGACAGGAGGCTTGGTGTCATGGCGTGGCTTTGTAGTGCCCAGACAGAGGTCAGCAACAGAGTGGAGAAGAAAGTTTCATAGCCGTCTAACTTTTAACCCCCTCATCCAAGCCTGGCTTTGAAAGCTCCATATAATTAAAAAGAACTTAAGGAAGGATGAGTGTAAATTGTAACACCACCAAATAACTTTAATAGCATCCCAACGAGACCTCAATTAGCCTTTCATCTGGATCATTAGCGACAGAGGCAGCACAAAGAGGAGCATGGGCCGCCCCAGAGCTGAGACCTCTCCCCCAGGCCTCCTGCTCCCGGTCTCAGCTCCTCAGCTCCGGGAAGAGAGGGTTGGGTTTGCGGGGAGGGCAGCCGGCAAAGGGGTGACGCAGAAGTTTCTTGCCCCCAGTTACATATTGAATTAATATTTCCTTGCTTGGCGCCAGAGTGCTAGTTCAGCCTGGAGGGCGTTTGCCTTGCATACGGCTGATCCAGGTTCAGTCCTGGCATAATCCATATGGTTTCCTGAGTACCACCATGAGTGATTCCTGAGTGCAGAGGCAGAAGTAACCCCCGAGCATTGCCAGGTGTGGCCTCCAAATAAAAAAAAATAGCACTGTAGCACTGTTCTCTCGTTCATCAATTTGCTCAAGGGGGCACCAGTAATGTCTCCATTGTGAGATTTGTTGTTACTGTGTTTGGCATATCGAATACGCCATGGGGAGCTTGCCAGGCTCTGCCATGTGGGCGGGATACTCTCAGTAGCTTGCCGGGCTCTCCAAGAGGGAAGGAGGAATCGAACCCGTGTTGGCCGCGTGCAAGGCAAACGCCCTGCCCACTGTACTATCGCTCCAGCCCCCCACAAATTGATTTCTTAGCTGAGAATGTTTTTGGGGGTTGCCCCAAGTGATGCTTAGCCCTAATAAAGCTTGGCCCCGCAGGGCTGGCCTGCTGGTTTGGTGCTAATGCCCGGTGACGGGGTGACTTGGCTTCAGAGGAGGGACCTCTGTGTAGATGAGATTGAATTCGGGGTGGTCAGTCTGGGGACAGTGCTGGGGGCAGTGCCAGGGTAGTGCTAGGGACCGGGGCTACAGCACTGGGTGGAGGCAGTTTGGGTGGGGGGGATGGAGGTCAGGGACAGGCTGGCTTCCCGCTCTGTGCAGACGAGGTGGACGGACAGCAGCTCCAGACACAGGGGGCCTCCCTGTGTCTGCGTTCCCCGGAGTTGGGTGAGCCCTGCCAGGAGGCCAGCCCAGCCTCCCGAGAAGCAGAGGAATTAGGACCCCAAATGAGTGGGGGCCCATGAAAATCGGGGCTCCGCTGATTGCAGGCTGCAGGATCAGAAAAGCCATTTCTCTTTAACTCTTCCTGTTTGTTTTTTGCTGCCGTTGTTTTGGGGCATGTCCCGGCTCTGTGCTCAGGGGTTGCTTCTGGCGGTGCCAGAGATGGAGTCTGGGTCAGTTGCCTGCAAGGCGACCCCAAAACTCCTGCACGTCTCTCCGGCCCTTGTGCCCCCCTTCTCTGCCGGGATGTCTTGCCTGTCTGTCTGCCTTCACAGCTGGGCGAGGTTTAGCTGAGGCTGGAGCCATGGACTCCTCTACTGACATCAGAAGATGCTCCAGGGGGCCAGAGAGATAGTACAGTTGGTAGGACTGTAACGTGTCCCACTCAGTCCAATCCCCGGCATTCCACATGATCCCCTGAGTACCACCAGGAGTGATCCTGGAGCACAGAGCCAGGAGTAAGTCCTTGAGCACCACTGGGAGTGGTCCCCAAACCAAACCACCTGGAGAAGATGCTGTGATTCTGTGGGTACCAAATGTGTGCCGAGAGCCGCAGGTAGCTGGTGAGGGGGCAGCTTCCGTTCCGGCACCAGGCCAGAGGGGAAGCAGAGAACTGGGCTTTGGTCCTTGCACTCTCCAGGCAAGGGTGGTTGGGGGGTGCTGGCTCTGTCCTCTGGGACTCCCCAGCCCCAGCCCTTCCACGCGGAAGGGGACCTGGGGAGCACCCAGCAGTTCTTTGGGAATCCTCAAATTGCTGTGTGTTTTTTAAGGGCAAGAAAAAAAGATGATGGCTAATTAAGGCAACCAAACTTCCTGGAAAGCCGTTCTGACTCATTTTTCACCGAGGAAAGCTTATTATGAGTCACGATGCTTTGCACCTTGCTTTAATGGCTTCCTTTGGATTTAAAAGGCCAGATTCTCCTTCCCAACAGAGCAGGAATTAAGGGGTGGTTTGTATCTGGGGTTTAAAGGCTCTATAAACCCAGGTGACCTAGAAAACCCCAGCTCCCTGAAAGCACCCTGTGGTGGGAGAACCCCCCGGGGCATGGGTGGGGAGGAGGGTCCACACAGCCGGCCTGCGGGTGTAGACCTGGCAGTGACCCTTCCCCTGCCTCAGGGAGGACAAACTGTCTTCAGGACAGCCCCAGCAGGCAGTCTTGGGGTGCCCCTGCCTGGGGCCAGCACTGGGGTCCAATAGTCCTGGGTTTGGGGACTCCCAGTCCTCCTTCCACCTCCCCCTACCACACCGGCACCCTGTCTTTTGCTCCTGGTGGATTGGCTGATAAGAAGGGGCCTCCCCGACCTGGCAGATGCTCTGGGGGCTGCAGTGTGCCCCTTGTCTCCCTGAATGTGGCACTTTGCCGCCTCTTCTTGTTGTTGCTGACCAGATCTCATCCAGGACTGGCCCTTCTCCACTGTCTCCACTGGCACTTCCTTCTGCTCCTCCTCGTGCTGTTTTTGTCTTTTTTTTTTTTTTTTTTTGCTTTTTGGGTCACACCTGGCGATGCACAGGGGTTACTCCTGGCTCTTCACTCAAGAATCACTCCGGGTGGTGCTCGGGGGACCATATGGGATGCTGGGAACCGAACCCGGGTCAGCCACGTGCAAGGCAAACGCCCTCCCTGCTGTGCTATCGCTCCAGCCCCTGTTTTTGCCATTTTTATGTGTCTGTTTCTTGGGATCACACCCGGGGGAGAGGGGTGCTGCCAGGGGAGTCCCCCAAACACAGCAGCACAATAGCACGAGCCCGTGTGGCCTTTCCCAGCACCCTCCCCTCAGTTTTTCCACATCTCGAACTTAAACATGGGTTTTCTGGGGCTGGGGGGCAGCTCTTGTCCCCTGCCTGTCCCCCTTCCCTTTGGCCTGGTTTCCCTCGATGCACTGTCCCCTCCGACCCCTACTCTGGGGAGGGCTCCACAGACAACCCCCATCCACCACGCAGACCCCCGCCCCCGATCTGACCTCAGATTCTGGTTACACTCTAAGACCCAGTGCTTGGGGCCAGGATGTGGCGTCGTCCCCTTTTACAGAGGAAACTGTTGGGGACTCCCCCATGATTCCCAGTCAGGGGAGGGGTCCAGCTGGGGCCTGACACCGTCTGGCTAGGGCAGCCCTGGAGAGCCTGGCAGGGGAACCAGGGATGAGGACTGGGGAGATATCAGTGCTCCGGGAATGGGTCAGGCAGGGGCCGGGGGAGCCAGCCCCCTGTTCCCAGGTGCAGAGCTGCGGCCTGAGGCCAAGCCAGGCTTGGTGTGGGGAAGAGAAGGACTTGGCCAGCCTCGTCCTGCTGGGGAGCCGGAGAATCGGCCGTGGATCCCCCTTCACCAAGGCACTACGAGCAGCATCTGTACCCTGGCCAGCTCTGAGACGGGGGACAGAGTGGAGCCCAGGGGATGGAGAGGGGAGGGTGATGGTGAGCAGTTGGGCATCCCCCCGAAGGACCACCCAGATACTGGGCTGCTTGGGGACACATGGCACAGAGCCTTCTTCGATTTGGGGGTGGGCACACCTAGCAGTGTCCAGGGGTTACTTCTGGTTCCATACTCAAGAATCACTCTGGTGGGTTCAGGGGAAGGCGGGGTAGGACCCGGGTTGGCAGTGTGCAAGGCGACACCCACTGTGCTGGCTCTGGCCTTGGAAAGACTTCTAAGGCGCCAGAGGGCTTGGGGGGCAGCTTCGGGCTTCTGAGGACAGCACAGAAGAGGCACGGGGAGGCCAATGATCCTCACAGCCCGAGCAGGACTGAGTCACGGCCACGGGAGAGGCCGCCCCGGTCCTGGGCCCTCCTTCCGGGGTGATGTGATGGGGTGGGAGGCCCCGAGAGTGTCCCTTCGAGTGTGGTGACAGCCCTTCCTGAGTGAGGGAGCCCTTCTGCACACACGGCCCCTCCCTGTCTGTGATTAAGTGACAGAGTGGGTGTGA